AGCGCCGGGCGGGCTCGGGGCGCAGCGGCACTGCAGGGAGAGGAGCCCTGCCAGGGCCGGGCAGGGAGAGCTGCGGGAAAACAACGTGTTTGAAACACATAAATCATCCCTCTTGGAAGAGGAGGGACCGGAGCTGTGCCGGGACAGCCCTACGGAGCCAGCAGGGCTCCTGGAGAAGCTGCCCGCTCACCCCCGCGGTGCATCTCCTGAGGACAGAGGGGTTGTGAAGCAGGAGGGTACGGCTGGCACCAGGGAAGGGGGGAAGCAGCAGGGAAAAGCTGAGCGTATTTAAAATGCGAATCCCCAAACCAGTGCGGTTTCACCTGAGCAGGCCTCCGGGGCTGGGGGTGCAGCTCTCACTCTGGGGATCCAAGCAGTGACCAAATCCCCTCCTGCACCCCAAGACAGGAGAGCTCCAGGACAGGAATGAGGGGCAGGGGGTGGCTCTGGCCACCCACAGCCCTGCCTGGGCACGGCCAGGGGGAAGTCTGACATCTCATCCTCCTCCGGACACCCCCAGCACTGCAGGCTCCTTAGGGACAGCAGTGACTGAGGCAGCACAGGGCCCTGAAAGGAGAAGGGGGGGCTGGGGAGACTTGCAGACATTGCTCACCCCCCTCCTTGCCAGTGTCCTCAGGCCGGGTGCCTGCAGTGGGGCAGGACGTGGAACCCAGCAGCACGGTGAGGTTTGACTGGCTCTGGCCCATGGACAAGGTGGTGCTGGAGCTGCCCGTTACCAGTCCCCACAGCCTCCCTCCACCTGCCTGAGCTCCCCTGTGGCCACAACAGCATCGTGGCTCAGCAAGAACCCATGAGAGTTGAGGGCTTTTTCAAAGTTTAAAACTTTATTCAAGCAGACAGCAGGTAATCCAGAAACAAGAGTTTAGCACCCCACACCAGTCAAATGCCAGCACTGAGCAAGGCACTCCAACATCCCAAGAGTCATGGTTGTGCTGCCTAGCCAGGAGACAGGCTTTGTCTTTCTCTGCTGGCTATAAAGCGCATGATTAAGTGACATCAAGATGCATGCAAACACTACAGTGAGGACTCCCAGACAGCAGCTCTTAAATGCCATCCAGGGAAGTGTCACTAGGAAACTACCACAGCCAGGGGCTGCACACATGCCTCAGGCAGCAGGGTAGTTAAGGAAGAGCAGGGAGTCGCACAAACCTAGGCATCAGGCTTCTAGAGACAGCTGAAAAGCACTGAGTTCAGTAACTAGGCTGGGGGCTTGTCCTTGCCCAGGTCTCTGCTCCAGCTGAAAAACATTCTTTCCCCCAGGAACTACTGCTGGGGCTCAGGCCACTCGCCTGGTTTAGATTTAAACACCAGATCAAACTGTTTGCAGAGCACAGGACCAGCTGTTGCCTGGGCACACAGAGCAGTGTTCAGCTTCCAGTCAGGGAGCAGAGGGGCACCAGAAAGTGCCACTGACTTCACCCCCTTCCACTTGACACCCAGGAGGCAAGACCTGAGTTCCCAAGGAGCCCTGGGGAGTAGCTTGCCATGCCCACACACCAGCCCCCACAGTGCCAAAGCAGGCCAAGGCTCTTTAGTAGCATGCACACCCACCTAGAGTGGGCAGCAGAGCCCTCCAGAGAGCTGTCAGCCCCCAGCCCTACATTTGCCTTTTAATTCCCCAAGTCTTTGTAACTAATTTGAATGAAGTTTACTAAATCACAGAGCACACAGCCTAACTAGCCTAGTTTCCACTAAACATTCAATCACCAGTCCTGTGACTGGAGGCAGGAAGCCACTTCAAGACAGCACAGCTATTTGAAAGAGTTCAGCCTACAGAGAAGGTAGAGTCTAAGGAAGCACATTACAGATCGAAGTTTGTATCTGCATCACCACAGGAGAGTGGAAAAATAGGACTGCAGGAAATTGATCCATGTTAGATACTAACCATCAAGCTTTGCAGATGACATTGCATGATAAGCATAGAACAATTATGGGAAACACTGTCCCCGATAATTACGTACACCCATAGTGCAACATATGGAGGTCACTGCCTCCGATATAACACCGTGGTAGGCAAAAACTACCTTGTTCTTTACACATTATGGAAGACACTGCCTCCGATAATGTCAGTTAGGTTTCATGATACATAAAGTACTGGAAATTTGCAGGAAGCTGCCATTTAAAAATTGTGCCAATGCCTAAACTGAGGTACAAGAAGTTTGTGTGTGTTGCCACAGGTGGAGCTAGGCCTACACAGCAAGCCCCTGGGCCGGGGCCAGGAAGGAAGCTGTGCTCCCCACGGAGTACAGGGCGTCCGAAAGGAAAGCAATGAGGGAGTCCGAAGCCCAGAGGGGCATGGACACTGCAGAAAAGCCAAATTTCTAGCATTTGAGTTTCCACCCAGCAGCACTTCAGGGATCACTTTGGAGCAGAACTTGGAGACTTGCTACCAGGTTTATACTTCCAAGTTTCTGCCAAAGAGGTGTTTTTGTCACAGAAAGCTTAATTGCTAGTTTTCAAAACTTTTTTTTTTTTTTGAGGGGCCTGTTTAGATTATTTTAGACGCAAAGTTCCAGTACCATGTTTGATTGTAATAGCAGATGCTGCTTTATTCAAAAACGACAGTATAACTGTCATAATTATGGAAGGCACTGCTTCCGATAATTATCTTCTATAAAAAAACCACACCATTTATAGTGAACGCTGTCACTGATAAATAAATACATAAAATAAATATCTCAGTGCCAAACAAGAGCCATCCTGCAAAATGGCATCAGTCAAACAGGGTTTGGCCAGCAAGAGACTCGATTTCACAAAAGGCCCCAGAGCAGCAAGGTCTGAAATGCCAGTCTAGAGCCATTCCTCAATGCTGCAAGACGCACTGAGCTGCCAGCTAAGGACATAAAGGGGGCATTAGATAATCTTTGGGTCATTTTCCCAGGGTACTGAGACCTGCCTCAGCAGAAGCAAGACTCCAAGGTGTCGTTGGGACCTTGCTGTTGAGTAAAGGCAGGCTGGGCACTTCAGAGCTTGCTGATAATCCAGCACTTGCGGGCTATTACTAGGTTGTTTTACTTCTGAACTACAGGTTGGTCTCTGCAGCTCCCTGCCAGGGAAGGGATCCCTATTACAAGCGTTAAGAGGAATCCATTCCCTGTTTTGTCAGTAGGTTTAGGGGGCCAACAATTAAAACCCTAAATAGATGAGGTACCTCCCCACTCAAGGTACCGGTTCAGGAGTTACCTGAGCTGTTAGTTCTCAAGTATGCTGGAGAGCAAGCCCCACAGGCAGGTGTAGGCAACCAGTTTGGACTGTGGTCAGATGGGAGCCTGGTCAGAGATTTCATGGTAATCTTAGTACCTGCTTCAAACATGCCTCCTGTGAATTTGTCAAGGTGAGATTTAAATTTTATGCTCAACTTTGGTCAAAAAAGATTTGTTGCCAGAAAATCTATGGAAAAATGTCGTATTAGGGAGTGGGTTTCCCTAATCCTGTACCTTAACTACATGTTTGCTGCATCTAGAATTCATTGTCTGTATTCCAGATATCACCCACTAAGGCACTGGCAGCCCCTTTAATGGTCCAGGTCGCCAGGGCCAGCTGCTCTTTCAGCATGTTCACGTCCACGCTGTCCCTGCTGGTTCTCAGCAGCTGCAGGTTCTCCAGCAGGCTCTGCAGGGTGTGGGAGCCTTTGCCAAAGAAGATGTGGCGGAAGGGAGCATCTTTTGGTGAGATGTACGGGGAGAGGAAGTCATACTCCACCTGGAGTAGAGGTGCAAAGTTAGGATTATACTCTCAACCTCCTGTGTTTTTCTTTCCTAATCTGCCGCATCGTGAGCTCCCAACCTCTGATCCCCAGCCAGCCCTTTCCTGCAGCAGCTCTGCAAGGGCCAGACCCTCTCCCAGGAGCAAGCACAGAAGTCAGTCACGTTGACACTACGCAAGCAGAAGAGATACCAGTCTGCACGGTGCCCACGGCTCCTAAGGAAAAGGCCCATCCCAGCCAGCACACTCTGCACCTTCACAAAGAAAGAAAAACCAGTTGGAGATACCCACCTTCATGATCCTGTCATTCAGGGCTCTGCGGATGATCCTGTTTTCCCTGTCGCTGTTTGAGATGTCGTTTCTCAGTGAATCTGTAGCTCGCTGGAAGTCACCACGGGCAAAAAACAGCCAGTTCAAGGTCAGCCCCAGCTCCTGTGAGGGAGGAGCTGTTAACAAACCTGATTTTCTTCTTTTGCTGCTCTCTTACCAAGAGAAAGTGCTGGGGTTTTTTTGCCAGTTTAACCAAGTAGCAGAGCGAGTTCCTGGCAGGCTCTTGTAAGGTCACTGAGCTCAGTGACGTCTCTCCCCACCCACAGTTTCTTGTAGGCTTTCAACAGAGGTGCAAATGAGACGCAAAGCTGCGCTGTGCTGTGAATGATAACCAGACAAGAAACCATCCCCAACCTCCCATTTCCTCAAGAGCTCATCACAGCCGGATTAGCTAAATCTGTCTGCCACAGCTACTCTGCCTGCACTGCTCTGCAACGAACATCAATTCAGGTCACATCTTACTACACTCTTGTGCTCATAGGAGGAAGATGTCCACCCTGTCGTATCCAGTGGCAGCAGAGCCTTATTAACACACAGCCCCATAACAGTCTACACTGATTCAGTGCATCTGGAGCCTTTCTTACCTTCACATCGTTATAGTAGGGCAAAATCTTCTCCTGGAATGCTAGCAATTCTTCATCGTATCTCTCAAAGTCCAGGAAGAGCTCATGATCATGGGTCAGCCTGAGAGCTATTTGTCCAGCGACTTCTGCAGCAGCACGCATAAGAGCATACAACTTGTCAATCTTCTTCAGGTTGTCCAAAGTGTCCTGAGTGGTGCCCAAGAAGGCATATTCCTCACCTTTCTGCAAGAAAGAAGGCATTCAAGTCAGGCAGTAGTACTTCTCCAGCTAGGATTTTTCACCTCCCACTACAGTTTGCTTGCTACTTCCACCACATCCTATCTCCTTGTGCTACTAAGTAGCAAGATTTGAGTAGTGGCAGAACTTCCAAGCACAGGTGAAGGAAATGAAGCTTCTGTGTTTTGTCCCTCAGTTTCCCAACAGTCAGCAGGATGCTCTGCTAGTCTGTTAGACCTGAAGGCACGTTGACCTTTTCCCCCTCAGAGTTTACTGCAGCAGTGCAGGCAGGCAAACCCCAGCAGCCAGTTTGTTATGTGCTGGCAACACCCTCCAATCCTTCTTGGCATGACAACTTAGGTTTTTTGTGGAACAAGTCTGAAACTAACAAAATCCAAGAACTGATAAGCAGAGGATGCCGTTATCAGAAAGGCTCCCAGCTGCACACCTGCAGTAACAGAGCAGGCTGCTTGGCTGATGCCATTTTTGCCAGCCCCACGCTACAGCAGCAGACCTGAACAGTCTATGAGTTAGTACTTGCTCAGGCCAATGGTACTGCTTCCCCAGTGTGCTTTGCTTGCTGACCAGCAGGCTGTAGTACAGTCTTTCACTGAACTGTCAACAGCTTGATATCTTTTTAGTGCTTTTAGCTTCTGAATCACTGACATCTGAGCCTCCAGAAGAACAAGTTCCCCCTCTCCCAACAAAGTGTTCAGGACTCTGGAACAGAGACTGTAAGCCAACCATGTCCCAGAAGCAGTTGTCACAGCAAGTACTGCCACAGCCACCAGACCCAGAGGCTGCATATTTGCCCCTAGAGAGGCTCTTGCATAGACAGTGAGCTTGGGACAGCATCTCATGCTCTGCCATCCTGGAAAGCAGATATCCTTACAGCACTTTCCCTAGAACGAGCACACCAGGCAGGCAGACAGACAATACTTACATTGTAGAAACCAAAGGAAACCACCGGAATTCCTGAGTACGTCAGGACAGGGAATGCTGCATTATCCAGACCAAGGGGAACACTGCAAAAGACAAGTATTGAGTAGTTACCAACATGTTTGGACATCCCAGGAGAAAAGCTACAAGCCCTAGAGTTGAAGCTCTGAGCTAAGTGGACTACCCTGACTAGACAAGACTGGTTTTGGCAAGGAGTCCTGGCCAAGTGCCGAGATCTGCTTGGCCATTTCTGGCCACTGGTCTTTGTACAAGGCTGTTCTTGCCCTACAAAAAGGTGTCTGGGCTGCCTACAGGCAGCTTGGGGCAGTACTAAGCACAGCCAGTATTGTGCTATTCACACCTGCCTGATCCCATTGCAGCAGGCAGAGCCCACCCCAGACAGTGGTGTGACCCTAGCACAAAGAGCAGAAGCCGTTTAATTTGTTCCTTTATGGAGATTTACTTTCCCAGAGTGCAGGATGACAATACTTACACTGTTTTTACCCAGTCAGAGCCAACTCTGTCATACAGGCTTTTCGATTCCTCCACTGGGTCCTTCACCTGCACAGAGATGACAGTCACTGCACTTGTTCTGACCTCTGCTTGGCCTCCCAGGTCCATCCTGAAGCAAACACTGCTGTGCAGACACCACAGGCATGCGTGCTCCCTTGCCCTTTCTCCACACAGGCATGGTTCATGCGGGACAGGCATTCACCTCCCACTGAACTGTGGCATTTGCTGATTTTAGATCCTGCATGCACCAACTGCAACTCCCAGAGTACAGCTGACTTCAGACAGGGCCCTCCAGAGTACCTCAGCCCTTTCTCCTAAATGGGGCTTTCTCCTCAGAACCTGCCAGCTGGGGAGGTGACCCAGCACAGCTCTGCCCACTTTCAGTTCCTCCTTAAAACCAGTCACCTTGAAGGGTCTTGGGCTGATCAACTCACCCCTTTCAAAGTTCTCTCCAGCAATGTGTACAGCAATGGGCTAGCAGAAATCTTCATGTGGTTGACACCTGCAAAAAAGAAAGGGTGTTTGATGTGCTGGCACAATTAACCACTACTGCTAGAGCTGCTTAGCCTTGTGACTGAGCAACAACTGATCTACAGCTTGTTGCCAAAAGATCTTCAGTGGACACAGGACAATCTACTGGTATCCAGCACAGCTGCCTCCTTCTGGCTCAGGCTGCGGCAGCCTGACAGCTTCAATGACAACAGGAGAATAAATGGAGTCATGTCAGTCTTCAGCCAAACACCCAGAATCAGCCTCTGGCACAGCCCCCATTCCTGGAGGTTAAGGGATGTCTGTCAAGATATTCTGGTCCCACTCAAGTTTCAAGAAAGAGGAGCAGGTTACCTAGGACAGCGGCATCCAAGTTAATGTAAGTGAAGGCTCTGGCATGCAGTGTGGCAGAGTACCCCTAGAACAAAACAAGTATTTTAAGATGAGCAGTAGCAGTACAACACCAGGATGTTTAAACCACAAGAACAGGAAATCACAACTGCGCAGCCAGCACGCAGAAGTCTATGAAAGAAAGAATACCTCCAGCCACTCAGTAGCACCCACAGCTCCGTACTCTCCTGCACTCCAGCTAGCAAAGATGATGCTGCGCCTTGGTTTGTAGCCATCTGCAAAGAGAGAGAGACTGTGATGTCTGCCCTTCCCCCATGGAGATGCAGATTAGCACCGAATGCCTGGCTTGATGAATTGCCTGCTCCCCAGACAGAGCTGAAACATTCTGGCTGCTGCAAACAAATGTGCACACTAGTAGCTGCATGCACCTGCCCCCACCATGCTGCAGAACTTTGCAGGAAAACCACGCTGTTTGCATTTCTCCCCTTTTTTGTTTAGCTGCCAAGCCCAAAATTAACTCTGGAGACATAAGCACTTGAATTAACTGCCACCATGCAGCCCCCACTGCCTCAGCCAGTCAGCCACTTCAGCGTTTTCCCACCTCCAGCCCTGGCTGTCCAAAAGACAGCTCAAGCTTAAGGTCTGCACTGTATGTTGTCCAAGGACATTCTTGCACTCAAGCCATACCAGATACAAGCAGGCAGTCCCTTGGAAGCGAGTGCTCACTGCAGACAAATTGTCTATGGTGGACAAATAACAGCTTCTCAGGAAACTGTCAGATTCCCTACATCTTCCCACAGGATTATTTCCCAGCTCTCCAATGTTAACACACAGAGAACTAAACCTGCATCACCTCCCATCCCATGAATTTGTACACAAATATTTACCTTTTTTCACCATGTCTGAAATCACACGGGCAAGTTCCAACAAGATGGCAGTTCCAACGCCAGCCTTGGCCGCTCCAGGGCCCCAGGAGTCTCTCTGGGCTCCGATCACAACATACCGATCTATAAAAAAAACATCAATAACTGAGCTGCAAGCTTCAGGTTGCAAACACCATTTATCAGAACAGCTTTGAGCTTCTGTACTAGGAACAGAGTATGGAGTCTGACCCCTGAATCTGGCACACTGCTTGCTTTCATTTAGCCTTTCCCTGGCAGCACGGTTCAGCTTTTCCCTTGACCCTTAGGGGAGGGTCTTGGTTCTGCTGAGGAAGCGGTTGCCTCTGCCTGTGAGCAGTTGTCATGTTCTGACGATCCGGAAGAGGAAGGGTTTCCCTCAAGACTGTGCCACAAGGCAGTTGTTTGTTACCTGGCTCTTCAAATCCCTTGATAGCACCGAAGATGTTCAGAATCTTCCTGTCCACCATAACATTGTTCACACTCAGTTTCACTGTGAAGTTGCTCGTGCTACTCGGCATCACCTTACATCCAAAGATCTCACTTTTCCAATCCAGAGGGCATCTCTCTCCATCCATTTTACTGAGGGGAACAACAACAACAAAAAAAGATATCCTTTGAACTCTTATCCAACTCTGACCTCATTTATCTATCCTGTGAAAAAAGCAAGACTGCAACTGCAGGTGCAGCCTTGTTGAGGTCCTGCTCAGGAAATAGCTCGCAGACCTGTACCACTAATTAGGCAGGGAGAGGTAGGATGCAGAGGCCGAGAGGAATGCAACACTAGATAAAGTTCAGTCTAAGATATGAGGCATGCACACCAGCAAGTGTCTCCAGCCAGTTCCGGTAAATGCTCCCTGCCATACACAGCAAAGACCAGCAGAGTGCTCCCTGGCCTTGCAGCACTTCAACACCCTGCAAGAGGGTCACAGCAGCCTAGCCTGCAAGGCAGAAGAAAGCATTACCTGAACAGCTTGACTAGTGCTTGGCTAGAGATAGTCTGAACAGCAATGCGAGGTAGTCCAGAAGATTCCACTGGTGGGAACTGGGTATGGTTGAAAGAAGGGAAGCCTGGGGTGAAAGGGTCTCCGGTTCCAAGGTGGGCCTGTGAAAAGTAAGAGGAGTCCCCAAGTCTCAGAGCAGCCCAACAGTTTTCATTTACACAAGGGCATGAAGCACTGCTGAGCCAGAGGTCTGCAGAAAGACTGCTGCAGTCTGCAGTCCACTGTGAGAAAGGTTCACGAGAACAACACACACGGGATCCAGGTGCATACTCACATGTCCAAAGGGGACAAGGCCCTCTGCGTTCCTGTAATCGTAGGGATCCAGGTACATCAGGGCACCAACTGCTCCTGCCTCTTTGGCATTTGCAACCTGAAGCAAAGAGGAACCTTGACTACACATTTGCATGGCAAACGAGGGGAGTTAAGGCAAGAACATGGAGTAATAGGTGTGAAGGGTTGTGTCCAACTCCACAACAGATTTTAACAGCTACCTGACAGTGATAGATACACAAGGAACCTGAATACTAGCAGCTCAGTCCTACTCCAGGCAGAGTGTGTCTAACACTGCACGGTTAGTGTCTCACCCTGTGATTCCTTCAGCTCATACTTGCTCCTCAGAGCAGCTTAGAAGAAAGATGTTACTTAATTCTGATTATGCTCCATCTGTTTTCCTGAGATTAGGTTAGTCTCAAGACAAGACAGGCAGCCACTAGAGGTTCATCTTCCCATGGAAGATGGAGGCAGTGGCCTAGTCAGATCCCTGTTTAATACACCTACAACCCAGCTGCCTCTGATATGCCACCAGTACACTCTTGCAAGGCTAGACGCCAGTCTGATAGGTGGGAAGGTGACTGGAGAACCAGTGAGCACTCCTTGCAGAAGCACTTTTCAGCTCTGCCTCCCTAGGAGCACCCATCTGAGGGGCAGCTCTGGGTCAGGCCTAGAACAGGCTTGTGTACAGAAGGACGTGGATCCTTTGGGCTGCTTGGATATTCAGTCCTACTCACTACAGAGGGAACATTACAGCAAGGTGCAAGGCAGCTGGCTGGGTCTGCAGTGCCAGCACCTTCACTTGGTCCAGGTAAAGCAAGGGCCCAAATGAGACACTGCAGCCAAGCTTTGAAAGTACCTGGCTGCAGCAGCGAGAGGTGCCCTGCAGGCAAGACTGTTCTGCTTCTAGCAGCCCTATTGCTGCATCTAACAACAGCAGCCATCTCTGCACCTTGTAGCCCCAAGGCTGCCTCCCAGCTCCATCACTCCAGATACCTGGCTGTCCCAGCAAGACCGCTGGAGGCCAAGGAGAATGCCACCACGAATGGCAACCAGCTCTGTTCAGTCTTGGTGTCTAGACCTGCACATGGAGGCTTAATGCAAACGAGCAAGACCAGACCTGCAGGCACAAGACTATATACATGAATTCTAGACACCCTAATGAAGACGCACCTCTCTGCCTCAATGAGGAAGCATAGCTTCCTGCTGCCCAGTTTGCCCAGGCGCTGGGACACACACTGCCTACCTTCTCAGCAAGAGTTATTTTTCCAGCTCTGAAGATGATTATAGTTTCATTCAGTGAAATATCCAGATTCTTTATCTTCTGAAAATCAGCTTTCAGTCCGTAATTCATATGGACTGGTTTGCCCTGGAACAGAAACCCTGGTTACAAATGCAGCAGTCCCATGTTAGATACTTTAAACAGCCTACAGAGCCACAGTAACAATGATTCCCATTAAAAGCAGGGAGTTCAAGCTCAGCAATGTAAACGCTGATCACATGCAACATGCCTGTTAGAGCATTCCTATCCAGATCCCAGCAGAGAAGTTTGAACAGTTACTTCTGCATCTTGCTTAAGTAATAAAACTATGTGGGCCCACTCCTCTCCCAACTCTCCCCATCACCAACCCCAATCTCTAACTGGGGAGGGCTTTATACACCTCGTATCTTGGATATATGCCATCTGCTAAGTGTGCAAGCATATTTCCAGAATCTTCTTGAAGTCACTCACAGAAACTGAGCCACTCTTGCTGTATGCCACATATGCACTGGGACGCTCCAGTTCCTCCTCTTTACCATCTTTCAAAGTAGACACAATGTTGTCACTACTGTTAAATGTAAAAAGACAGTGTTATGTTTTTTCTTACATAAACTCCATATTTAACTATCTCCTGTATTTCAGTTTGTGTCCAAGCAATCCTGACCAAGTCAACGCAGAGCTTGAAACAAGCAGACTTGTCCCAGTACTTCTACGCAAGAATCTCCGGGGTTGTTCAGAGACATTAATGGAGGCTAATTTCCAAGACAAGTAGCAGAAAGAATCTGTGCTTCCAATTCTCTTAGTCCTCTCTTAAGAGGAGCTAAGCAAATTCATTTCCCCCTCAACATAAAGGGGCAAGTAAGATATGAGGATACAAGCTGTCAGCCAACACAGTGCCTGTTGACAGTCTCTTGAGCTACTACAGGAGCCACTGCCAGGTCTGCAACACCTGTCTGGGTGACAAGACAGAGTTGCCTGTGCTAGCAGCTTTAGACACAAGGAATCTGCCCTTCAGCTGAGTTTTTACTCTATTTTGTTTTCTCTCCACTTCCCCAACATGCTTTGAGGAAACAGCTGTCCCAGGAAAAATCCACAGGGCTGCTACCAGACCCTCTGGATTTAGAAAGCCTTAGAAGAGACAGGAGCAGCTACTGCTTGGCTAGGTTGAGGGCTTCGTTGGGGAGGGGTAACTGGCTCAATTTCAGCACTGCTTTCAGCAGAAATCACATGCTTGCTCAAGACTACCTATGTCCATGCTGTAAGGAAGAGATCTGCATCTCTTCATTAACGTACCTGCCTTTGACCTGCAGCTTAATGTAGTGCTCATCATTCCACACTTCATCCAAGGAGAATCTCTCAAACTGTTCATGGATGTACATGGCAAGGCTCTCATCTTCACTCTGACCAGCTTCACAAGAGTACTTACTTGCTCTGAGCCTGTAAGAGATGTATAGCTTAGGCTACAGCACCAGCTTGCACTACTGCTCCAGCCCGCAAACCCAAGTTGGATGGGCCATGGTTAAGCCCATGTTTAACCACATGCCACCCCAAAACATCTTTAAGGCCCTTGTTCTCCAAAGAAGCTTGACTTCTGCTCACCCTCTGTGCCTCTCTCATAGCTGTAAATAAGCTTTCTGGAACTGTTACCTCAAGCTGTTCTCAAGATGCGAGGTTGACAGCTTATCTGACAACAGCTTTCTGAGGTCAGGCCAGTATAAAACAGGTGGTCCAGGAACCTCTTCGGCAGCTTCATTATCATCCACTAAGTAAGATGCGGTAGGAGTCATCTCACACTTGCCACTTCCATCCAGACACCTGCTGTCCTTCTGCATTCGTCCACGATAACTCAAGTAGCCAATCAGAAACCCTACGGGCAGATCAGGTATTTCTTTGTGCTGCAGAAAGATGGTTAAACCAGCCTCACACCATACAAGTGCATTCAAAGCAGCTTCAGGGTTAAGATGTATCTCTGCTTTCACACCATTTTTGACAAGGTAGCATACCCAAGGACAGACAGGAATATGCCGCCTGACATTTTGCCTGAGCTGGCATGCTTTCAGGTACGCTGTAAATCTGATCTTGTGCTTGGCGGAGTCCCTCCAGCACCACTTGGGAAGAAGAATGCTTACTTTAGATCAGTAGCAGTGTTAAAACCCTTAAGAGAGGAGCACTAGAGGCTTTACTGATATGTTGAACCATATCTCTAGAGAAATGTTAAGAGCTAATTGAGGGAAAACCAGTACACTTGCCATATGAACCAGTTTGCCATTTAGCTAAGTCACAGTTCCACTGTCAAACTTTACACTTCTTTGTGGCAATTCTGCACTGTAAGACTGAGCTAGACAGAGATAGTGATGAGAGGCTGCAGCCTGGATCCAGGCTCTTTATGTCCTGAAACAATACAGATTCAAATGTTAACAGCCTCAGATGTGCTCAATGCGAGAGTCCACTTCATGCAGTTGCCTCCCACCCTTCCTTACCAATCAAAAGGAGGAGGACAGCTGTGATGATTAGGAAGCAGCGGTTCTTGTCAATCCTCCATGGAGGAGGCATGCTGGTGTGCAGGTGCTCCGGTCTCCCAGTTTCCCCTCCTTCCTCATCATCAGCAGATAGATTCATCTCCACATGGCTGTTGTCTCCATCCATTTGCCGGGCAATGCTAAAGCGCGTGTATGACTTCGGCTCACCACCAAACTGTATTGAAAGACAGTTACACAATGGAAGAGTTTGCTACACCAGCCTACATACAGTCCTTGCAGCCAGCTGCACTCCAAACCAAATACAGTTTGTTTATCTGAAACTGCTCCAGCGCAGTCTGCACATTTGGCTGTCAGTAAGTCAGGTTGGCTGCTTTGAAGAGACAGATAGACTCAGACCCACTCAGGGTCTCCAGAGTTTATTTAACATCTGCTTGCCCTGTACAAGTTCAGAGCCATACTGGTCAGTCTAGCTTGGGAGTCTGATACAGATACGACACAGCCAGTGGTATCGGCATTTCCCTCATCACTCCACCCCAGCAAAGGCTGACTGAAGCAGAAACTTCTGGTCTTAATCAGGAGCACGCTGATCTGACCTGAACACGTGCAACCCGCACAGAAGGGAACTTTGATCAGTACAAAGAGGAAAGGGAAGGCAACCCCTCCATGGTTATGCCTTTGAGCCACATCCACCCTCCCAGTCCACCAGAGACTGGAACTGTTCCACAGGCGTTTATCAGTGCCCAAGCAAAGCTGCTTCCAGACCAGAGCCCACTTTTCTAAACAGCTGCAACGCACAATCCAACCGCCCACAGAACAGCCGCCTGTGCACAAGGCAGTTGCTCACATTAAGACAGTTAAACTCGATTCCAGGCATAGCCAGGCACTGAGCAGAACCACTCAGCTTCCATTAGAGCCGCTGAACTTGCCTGCAGCCATGGTTGTGCTGGGGACAAGCAGGACACTGGGTAAAAGGTCAGAGGAATAGTTTTGGGAGCAACCGTCCTGCAGACCCTCTCAATTGTACTGGAGAAGCAACTGGTAGCAAGCGCCCAAGCCCTGTTACAATCTCAGCAGCTCATCCACAGTTCTCAGCTCACTCTCAAACTACAAGTCAGCAGCTGGAGGTGAAGAGATCAGACCTTGGTTGGTCAGAACAACCAATGTAATTTCAGACCTGCAGTTCCATTCAGTCCCACACTACCTGCAATGAAGTGGCTGGCTGCTCACATTTCAGAAAGGGCAACACCGCAGTCTGTCCTAGTAGTCTCCCTGCTCAGCTGCTTGGCTTCCCTCACACCTTTCAGAGGACATGCCTTAACTCCATACTTGTTCAGAGACCAAACCATCCCATTTGCAACCCTAGCCTAGAGTAATTTCAGAGTCCAAGCTCTCCTCGACCGGTGGGCTTGGCTGAGCAAGCTCAGAGCTACCTCCTGCACATCTGTTTCAAAGCACAGATTGCATTCAAAGGCTGGACTTGCAGTTCAATTCCCATCTACAAAGTAACACAACAGAATGCATGTTGATTGTCCTGATACTCATTTAATCAGCTTCCTCAGCAGCACTTCCTCCTAGAACATTGTTCGAGGCTGGTTCCCCCCTCCTATCAGCTTCCTGAGAGACACAAGACATCATAGCAGTTACGATTACTTCATCAGCACTGAACCACTTAAGCTACCTCCTTACCATGGCCAGCTAGCTACAGTAATGGTTGGCTCACAACCCACACGGTAGCACCTAACACCTCTCTGGATTCACTACTTTCTCTGATACTGACGTGGAGGTTGTTGAACGTTTCTTCTGCAGTACCAGCAGCCCACCAAGAGACAAATGGCACAGAGGGACTGTGTCTTACCAAGTTAGAGATTGCCACTCTGGCATGGTCCATTGCCTTCAGGAGTGCCCACCAGCTTGACCAAAGCCCTAGAAGTTCAAAACAAAACAAGTCAAGTCAGGCTGTTCCCCTGCCATTACATAAGATGTCCAAGGTCAGTCACTGCCACTAGTGCAACACTTGCCATTGGATTTTACATACATATTTCTACATAAATCACAATATTGGTGAATCTACATCAGCCTTGAATGCAACCTAGAAATTCACATACTCCCACTGCACATATAAGTTCTAATGAACAAAGACTCGTTCTATTGAACTCCAGGGATGGGGGGTGGGGAGCAGTGTGCATAAATGAGAAATACAATCTCAAAGGGATAAATTGAGCCAAGAGGCTTATTAACGGTAGGGCCACCTCCACTCAGGGAGTGCTGGCAAGACGCACTTGCTCAACTGTGACAACAGACACCACGTATCTGAGGTTCCTGGGGTCTGTCTCAATGACAGGATGGAGACAGAATTCTGACTGGTAGCCAGAAGTGTCACAATGCCATAATACAAAGCAGCACAAGCTCCTACCCTGCCAAAACCCTTCCAACTGCAAGGTCCCTTCTAGATGGCTATATTCCTTACCACTTTACATAGGCAATTTCAGTTTTGAACAGTCTCCCAGAATAGCTAAGAGCAATTCTTCAAAAGTATTTCAGTAACTTTTATAGTTTCAATTTCTCTAGACAGCAACTTACTGTAACTGATTTACTTCAACATTTCTTTCTGAAAAGATGCTTGAAAAAGCTTTGCAAGTTAGTGACTAGACAGCTTGGGTTGTGAGCATGCAACCCGAGTATGCCCTCAAGCAGCACTGGCTTTGAACTAGTCTTCAGGTGCACGTGGATTAGCTTTTCTCCTGGGAGCTCTGCAATATAAGCAGGTTTTATCTGGAGTTCAAAGGCTAATAGCGGCTATTCACTCATTCTGCCTTGTTTATAAAGAGCATATGGAGATGAACTGCCGGCAGCTTTGAGAAGCCTTTTCCAAGTGACAATCTGAGGCCCAGGCTCCCACCCGGCAGGCAGGCGTGCAGATGGAGGGTGTCCTAAAAGCCAGGCCAGTTAACCCAGGGGAAGAGCCAGCGAAGGGCCTGCGGGCATCCCACCCGGCAGGGAAGCTCCCGGGAGCGCAGGGCCCCCCTTCCCCCAAGCCCACCGCCCC